CAGTCTAAGGCACTAACGTGGTGCATGCCTGAATATGCATACAACACCTTCACAAAAGAAAAGAGGGAAAAGGTCATTAATTCATTGACAAATTAATAATCATATTAAGAGAAAATTATATGGAAATGGTGAAAATGTAATTTCAGTTGTTAAAATATGCATTTGAAGTTGATTAAATTATTAAGGATTCATTAAAACATTGAGAATTGTGGTAACAAATATGTTACTGCTTAGTCATGATTATTAGTTCATTCCAGAATAGGCTTTCATACAGACATACACTTTTTTTTACCCACCCTTACCCGCCAACCAGAAAGAAATATTCCAGCAGAGAGTTCACCTTGTTGCAGGTGAGGACAGGGAGTTGTTGCTAAGCAATAGGAGTAGGGTGGGTATCAGACAGGGATCATGCATTATTCTAAATTCATAAATAAAAATGACACAAATCAAACTTTTCATATACATCTGCGTTGATGTGTATGGGTCAATGACAAGACTCTTTTTTATTATTTATTTAAAAATACATTAAAAATGTATACCAAAAGTGTATGATTTTACATTTTCCATGATCAACATGTTTTCAATCGTTCATTTATTTATTTAGTGTGGCTACAAATCAGAAACGTCCAGGTGGTGTAACTGATAAACAAATAAATATATATGGAACCAACATGACTACAGGGATTCAATTTCTAAGAACCTGGAACCTGTGTTATCAAAATATCTTTTTGGTCATGCCGCCATTTGGCACTGACCCACATAACGTAACGTTATATATAATGTATATAAAATATAACAATATAGAACTTACAATATGCAAACCAAATAAAAAATACAAGAGTTACTGGACATTTGCAAGTGTATATATGCAATATGCATTTTAAAGACGGCGGAAAGTGTTTTTGGAAAAGTGGCGTGGAGTTAGCATTTTATAATAATAAACATGAAACTGATAGGATAGAAAACTGATAGGATACATAAACTCACAAATGTAATAGTGTTTGTCATCGATATCTTTTCCGTATTTTCCAACAAGCTTTCTTGAAGTTACAGATGCGAAACAGACTCATCCACTCTTGCTAACGGTCCCGCCTTCTTTTTCCCATTGTTGGAATGCCCACGCGTCAACATGTGTAACCATGACAATGGACTGTCTCTAGATATTTCTCATCGCTCATTGGTTTCCATGGCTGTCAATCATCTCCACAACGACCCAAGCCCAGTTTGACGGAAACTCGCCAACTGACTGACCACAAAAGTCATGCTACAGGTGTCCAAATCAACACGAGCGAAAAACGATAGAAAAGTAAAACACCACCGTACACATCTTAATACCTACTACGCTTCAGATGAATTTAATATTTAATATCGGTAGACAGCCGAGCTGCATCAGTATTGGTTTTCGCGAGAAACAGCTGGGCAGTGAGTAACATCTAACGGTATTGAATTATCGGCAGCAATAGCCAGATACTGACAAAAGCGTAACATATATTGAGGCAAAACTCGTTGTAAGCTATAAAACGATAACCCCATACAGATACGCATGCAGTTACAACACAGTATCGTTTACCTACAATGTATGAAAGTTTTCATATCCGCACAAAGTACAAGAAATTCCCATGGCTACATTGCTAACATTAGCCGCCACTTCCCAAAACTTTCCTGTGAGGAAGAAATAAAAAAATTCGTAGCATTACAGTACAGATAATACTGAGATCGTAACTAAAGATCATACCTATATATTAGGTAATTAAGTGTACTTACTTGTGACGGATGTGTCCCAACCTGATGTGAAGTTTCATGACATGGTAACCTTAGTGCTGCATAAGGAGTAAACAAAAGGAGAGGGCAGCTGGTGTGTGGACAGAAGCAGGAGGAGGAGGAAACTATATCTCAGTTTTTTTTTTCTTTTCTTCTTTAAGGACAACACCGGCATAGGGGGTTTCCTTCACGTGACATACAGGATTTAGGGCTATAATTCAGTTTATCCTCAGTGTTATATAGATGTGGTGTTTAAGAGTTATTTGAATGGCATAAAGTAAAATATCCTGCCAAGTTCACACTAGCACCATTTAAAGTAATTTTAAAAATTGTTCTTGTTCTTTTAATAGGTCTGTAGAAAATGACAGATTTTGCCATCCAAGGTTTTTCCATAACACATAAAACATGGAATTATCAAGTGAGATATGGTTTATTTCAAGATTATTAGTAGTAATTAATTTAGTTAATAATTAACAGCTGCTGCTATTGACCTGACATAAACATAAATGTAAAATTGAATTTCACACACACACACACACATTGTTTCCCCATGTTTTACGGGAACCTTCCATAAGCATAATGGTTTTTCTACTGTACGAACTGTATGTTCTATTGCCCTATCCCAGGGGTAGGCAAGTTCGGTCCTAGAGAGCCGCAGTCCAGCAGAGTTCAGCTCCAACCCTAATCAAACACACCTGAACACGCTAATCAATGTCTTCAGGATTACTAAGGCTATAGGCAGGTGAGGTTTTTTTCAGGGTTGGAGCTGACCTCTGCAGGACTGCAGCTCTCTAGGACCCAACTTGCCTACCCCTGCCCTATCCCAACCCTACACCTTAAACTGCCCCTCACAGGAAACCTGCATTTTTAGATTTTCAAAAAACTTCATTCTGTATGATTTATAAGCTGGTTTGTCTATGGGGAACTCAATGTAGTCCCCATGAGTTGGTGTGTATTCAGGTTTAAGTCCCCACCAGGATAGAAAAACATGTACACATACAGACACAGACACACACACACATACACACAAGCCCTGAGGCTTGGAATCCTCCAGTTGTTCTGCACAGAAAGCTTTTCAGAGGATTACCAGCATAAATTCAAATCAATGTCTTCAGGATTACTAAGGCTATAGGCAGGGGAGGGTTTTTTCAGGGTTGGAGCTGAACTCTGCAGGACTGCAGCTCTCTAGGACCCAACTTGCCTACCCCTGCCCTATCCCAACCCTACACCTTAAACTGCCCCTCACAGGAAACCTGCATTTTTAGATTTTCAAAAAACTTCATTCTGTATGATTTATAAGCTTGTTTGTCTATGGGGAACTCAATGTAGTCCCCATGAGTTGGTGTGTATTCAGGTTTAAGTCCCCACCAGGATAGAAAAACATGTACACATACAGACACAGACACACACACACATACACACAAGCCCTGAGGCTTGGAATCCTCCAGTTGTTCTGCACAGAAAGCTTTTCAGAGGATTACCAGCATAAATTCAAAAACATCTAAATCCATTATCGAGCACATCATAAAACATGCTACTTTGGAATAGAAAATGTTCAAAGCCTAGGAGTAAACGTAAAGTAAAAAAGAAAAATTCTAAAATGAATAATAATGATAAAAAGAAGTAATCACATTATATTATTATCTGAAGGACCATTTTAATTAGCAAAGCTTAGCACTTTTATTCAAAATCTAACGTGCATGTCAAATACCCAACTGTCACTACAAAATAATGATAATAAAAAAAGAACAGTGTCTCTCTCGTTTCCCCTTTAAAACTCCCATTCTGTGTGAAAAACAAGTCAAAAATAATTGACGGGCTGGATTTAGCTTCTGAGTCACTAGTTGACGAGCCCCACAATACGTGATAAACAATGAAAAAAATGCAATTAAACAAATGGAACATTCTACATCTTTTATTCATTTCTATATTATAGCATTTTCATGATTTATGACATTAAAACAAACCATTAAAACAAATACATCAATTTTTTGTCCTTTTTGCCAGCTATAGTTTGCATAAGTGAGCTAAATAAATAAGGGAATAGGTTTCTTAAAAAAGAAAGCTCCGGTGCTTCACCATCATGGCATCGTACTGTGATATTTATGAGACATGCTGCTGCAATCCACTCATCTCAAGTTTTAACTGTAAAAAAAATATATATATTTGAATTTGCTAGAAAAGAACAATATGATGCAAGGGGAGTGGCTTAAAAATTATTCCCATCTGAGGTGCATTAAGGATTCTCCTATCTTTCGTAAATTAAGCTTCCCAAGCACACAAACTAAAGAGGATAAAAGGTATTTACCGCCTGATTTTTATGAAATTGCGATAGGCGCAGTAGTAACATTAATTCTGCAGTGTGTCACGATTGGTCCAACCACATTGGTGGTCTTTGTGAAAGGCATTCAAGTTATTCCAGCTGTACGTGACCCCTAACACTACTGTCATATTAAGCCCAACAAGACTTGAGATTTAAAGATCTTCAAAGCTGCCATCACAGCCGCTAAAGATGTGTTTCAAGGGACACCGTATGTAGATTTGACTTACGTAAATCTAATATTTTGAATGGCTCTATATTTTGAATGTAGGTCAGTAAGAAATTCTGTAGGCATGGGGCAATATTTACTCGAGATGAATCTGACAATACATTTCAGGGAACTAAAAGCTTTTCACTGAGCAGTGAAAATATCCTAACTGCTATGTGCATATTCCGCTTCACTAAGACAACGTAAACATCTTATCGGAATCAGAATAAACAGATATATAATAGACATAACCAGCTAATTGTCTCCATGGAAGCAGATACCACGAGTCATGTAATTTGCCAGATTCATCTGCATTGGTAGTTACGGTTATGCAATTTCCATGTAGACTGAGCCGACTAACAATAACAAGTCACCCAGTTTCAAAAGTTAGTGTCATCACATAAAATACTGACTCAATATTGAAAGCAGACTAAAGCATGCTTCAAGTTAATATACGTACATTAGCTTCTCAAATAGACTTATATTTACAGTGAAGGTTTCTATGCCACCCAAGATGGATAAACAATTTTTTTTAGTCAGTCAGAGGCTCTCAAAAACAAAAGGTTGGGTTATTGCGCACATTCAGTTAACGGCCTTTGTATTTACACCATCTCATGTCCACCATTATATGTTGTCATGCACCAGTTTATTAATTTAATCACAAATAGTATTTCTTTTACACAAATTATACATTGATGTAAACACTCTATAGATTAAAATACATACTTCCAGTCATTACACTAGATCAATAATCATATCTTATGTCCTGAGCTTTTAAAAGAAATTTAACAAATAACTAAAGGGACACAGTATGTAGATTTGAGCTGCAATTTTCATATGCATAAACCATCGTCTAAAAATGTATCCATGCTGGCTATTTCAAACCGCGTCCATATAAAGGGACTTTAGAGATTCACATTTGTGATCTGGTTTCTCTCCGTCTTTAAAAAAACCTACTTAAAAACAACAAATATAGACAACCAATTTTCAAGAGGAAAAATAAACTTTGTTCCAGGCAATTCACCCCTCTTACTCAGCAAGTCAAACACATTTTACATTTAAATACACAAAAATCTTATCATACCAATAGTCGTATGCAACCTCTCCCACATTAGAGGGGATATACAAATTCAATTTACAATCTATTTTCGCTTCAAGTGCTAGCAAACACAGAGCAAAGCAATGCGTCGCCCCATGCAAAAGGAATGCTTTTAAACTGAAGGAGTAGCGAGTGTATGAAAGCGAGCATCTTTCCTTTTTAAGGGAGCAAGAGAGTATGGACTGTTGGAGAGGAGGGTAGAGACAGGTATCGTATAAAATATCCGGATGTACTGATTTTAGCAAGGTTGGACAATAAGTAAACTGGAGTAGCTAAGTCTGTGGACTTAAAGATCTGATCTCGGATCTGCTAAATTCCAGAAGTGCAGGAGATATTTTAATAGTGTTTGCATCATGTCTGTAAGAACATTCACTACAATATGTTCTTTAGTCAGTTTGTTCATAGCTGAAAATTCTCTATATTAGAATATTACGTTACTAATGATGGAAATGCATCGTCATGCAGTTTTGACCCCATAACTGATAACCTTTGCGACCAGCCACACAGTTTTGCCACAGTAGCATTCTTTGATACTAGATGAAGAGCATTTATACATACAAAATATGGAGAAGCCTGCATCCATATAGACTTTGAGACGTTAAGTGACATACAGTGAAAGCAGTCAAATATTCTTATGGTAGCACTACTTTTTTTGATTACAGATTCTGATGTGCTGTGGTTCGTGTGGCCTCGTCCTTGCTTGGATTGGTCCCACTGTCTCTAATAACTATGAACTACTTGGGGTAATGTCCTCTGGTGTATCACGGACAGTTTCATAGCAACCGTCCATACATCCAATCAGAGATAATTGTTTCTTGTTGCCATGCATCCTGGTATGTAACGTTCTGATAATTGTGATGTCTTCCGCTCGAGTACGGTTACCAACTTTTTGATGCCTAATTTGTAATGGAGATCCTAATGATACAATATTGTTTTCTGTATTATAGTGACGTGTCTTGGTGAATGCTCTGCAAACAGCACAGTAATTGGTAATACGGACTACCAGGTGAAGCCACCATCTCAAAGACCGTCTGGAAGGCCCTGCGGTCTAACTCTTCATCGATCTGGTGTCGGTAGAAATCCATAGCTACCATACAAAAGAGACTAATGTCCACTGTGTCGGACTTACCCATGCGACTGATGACATGAGGCAGGCTAAAGAGAAGGGAGATGTTAAGGAAAACAAGAATGAAGACAAAAAGGAAAGGAAAGCATGGAATATGAAGTGTGGTGTCACCAAAACAAGAGGTGCAATAACTTTGCAATGTTTAAGGATACAGGGCAGAGATCCACTGACTGGTCGAGGCACTGACAAAGAAACAAGACAAGCTCCACATTGCCATGGCGACAGGCGTCCTCTGTGTGAAGTTTGACAGCGAGAGTAGCACCCAGTCACGCACCATGGAGGACTGCCCAGTTGCATGAAGTGTTTGAAATACCTGTATCAAGAAATACATGCACTTATATGACCATATTACTTGTTTATATAGTGACTTAAAGGGATAGTTCACAAAGAATGTTATAACTGTTTTTGTCCATACAATGAAAGCCAATGGGGCCCAAAACAACACGGGATAGTATTGATTTCATTGTATGTACAAATATTTTTAATTAAAAAAATATATATATAATCTGTTCAACAGAAGAACAAACAGGTTTGGAACAACATGAGTGTGAGTAAATGATGACAGAATTCTAGTAAGACTAAAGATGCGAACACATTTACTGATTTTCATGGGCAAAATCTGGAATTTTGTATGGGGGCGAAAACTTTTTCCCCATGCAGATTTCACAACAGTTTAAAAGTTGTTCATGCGGAATCTCCACGTTGACTAACAAAGCTGCTTGGTTTGAGAGTGACTACTATGTGAGCTGTATTTCATATAATCGCCACTTTACCAACAATAAACAACTGACCTTTTTTGCCTGTGAAATTTCGCTAATGTGACCGCACTTTAAGAATCAAAAGCATTTAAGATCATAGCGCACCTAAAGCATTATGTAAGAAATTGGCGCTCAAAAAGTGGCACTTGCCTTGTATACCACTGTAGCCATGAATTGCGGGTAAGGCTGCTGATTGGACAGGAACTCCCCAATGACTTTGTTCATGATGTCCTGCAGTGGGAAAAAGTCATCCAGGAACTGAGGAAGGATCCGGGATACCACACGCGCCTCACTCGGAAAGCCTTTGCGAATCCTGTGGCAAGAGTTTTCCATAGACGAATCAGTGCAATACAAAAATGCTTTTAGCTAGGGCAGGTTTCTTCAAAAAAGACATACATACCTGTCAAACAGGACGGATACACGCTCCATTGCGACAATGACCGATTCGCTGTCAGGAGCTGTGGGGTCTGCATCAACAGGGCGCCCGGGACTTCCCTTCTCCTTCCCTGTTGGGTAACATTATGGCCACCAGTAAGAGAAACCGTTCCATAATGGATCCATGCAGATAAAACTAGATTTCTATACATCCCGAGCAGGGATTGAAATTAACTTTTTCACTCACCAGCCAATTTGGCTACAGCAGCAGTGATGGAAATTAATCTTTTCCAATAAGTTTAAATTGATTTGTACCTTTTATGGGCATTTTTACTTTTATAAAGCCATTTTTTTTCTAAAAGTGTACATCTTTTGAGTCAAATTCTTACATTTAATCAGTCAATTATAATAATAATACATTTAGGCTGTTACTAAAATGAAATCAGTATCAATAAAATTCATCTTTGCAGAAGTGGCATTTAGATGTATTTACACAATGCAGCTCAGGGGGACAAGGAATTGCTTTAACCTGCAGTTACAAATGCTTCGATAAATAATGTTTCGATATTTAAACATGAAATGTTGAATACTGATATTTGAAATAATTTAAAAAATGAAAAGATACTTTAAATGTGAAATTAAAACCGCTAGTTTGTGGCAGCAAGTCACTGTTAATAAGCGAGTCATTACGATTGAACCGAATCATTTAAGCGGTTGATTCATTCAGGAACGACACAACATCATGTTCCTCAGAGACGCAAAACAGTGCTGTGGCTGTGTTTGGAATGGTTTTTTTTGTTGGCGAAATAGCGCATAAACAGCCAATATGGTGTCTAAAACGTAAGTCTCTCGATATTAACTTGAATAACTGTTGTATAAAATCCATATCACATTTGTAACCATGCTGATTTTTAAGAAAAAAAACGCGCTATTCGTGTGATATTTATTAACTATATGAATTGATATAAATGTATACATTTTCTGCCCCCTTATCTTGAATTATGTGATCATTCTTAATGCATATTAATAGACTGAATCATGCAGTGAAAGAACGCACTCTAAATGCACACGCGCACTAAAGCCTGTGTTGGTCTAACCAGACTTCATCACGTTGCGTATGCGTGCCTCTGTAGGTGTGTTATGTTTAGTTTTTGCAATATACTCGATAATGTGATGTCTCACGAGTTCAGTATTTGCGCTAAACATGCGCAGATTTGGCTTGCATGAACTTCCCCAAGAAATTAATGAGTGAGCATAACTTACGAAAAGTAACCCGCCAAATTGGCTAGCCACAGCTGATATTTTACCTGCATTTGGCAGGTTGGCAGGTGTTAATTTCAAACCCTGATCCCGACTAAAGAAAATCTCAGCGTTCAAATGTTAATGAAATGAAAAGTGAAAGTTAATCTTATTATCTAGTATTTTCACTTCAGTTTCACAGGAACAAAATTAAACCTTTCGCACAAGACACTTTCATGCTGAATTCATACTAAGGACTCTGTTAGTAGGGTGAGCATCTAAGGTGAGTCTGTTCGTGTTAGTAGGGTGGGTAAGTATTAAAGATGAAGCTGAAATGTGTCCTGCCTTCCTCTCCAGCCACACCTGTGTACATGCAGGTGAGCATGAGACCCAGGGCAGCCATGGCACGGTGTGGGCTGGGCATGTTCACACGCTCAACGCTCAGCTTGACTAGCGTCTCTGCGTCCACACGCGACAACTGCTCAGACAGAAGCAACCGCTCCAGACCTCGCAGAATGCAGTGGTAGATGATGGATGGTGTGGCCTCCTCACTAGCAGACAGCATCATACAGCACAGCTGGAAATGTAGAGAAGGTACAATAGGAGAGAGAGAAGGTTCAGTGACATATCAGAGTGTCCAAGGAAATAAAATGTAAAAAATGTAGCTTAGAACATGTTAAGTTCTTAAAAGTACATGCTCTTTATATTCACATTGGTTTTGGAAAACATTTTACCATACAACACCATTTCCAAGAGGAGTTTAAATTTAAAGGGATAGTTCACCCAAAAATGAAACTGAAATGAAACCAAACAGTTGTGGGTAGCCATTGACTTTCATAGTATTTTTTCCCCTACACTATCAAAGTCAATGGATACCAGGCAACTGTTTGGTTCCCAACAATCCTTAAAATATTGTATTCTGTGTTCAACAGAAGAAATACCGGTTGGATACAGCTTGAGGGTGAATAAATGTTAACAGAATTAAAAATTTTTGGGTGAACTATCCCTTTAATTAAACACTTGTGGTATGTTGTAGCCATCAAGTAAAATGTGAAAATATATTTTCCTTTAACCTTGAACACATGCAAGTATTTATTACTTTAAAAAACATTTAAAATATATATTTTTCAAAAATGTTTTTACAAATATCACAATTTATTAAATCAGAAATATAATTTAGTTTTTGGAAAATCATGCCACGTAACATTTTACAACCTGAATATTCCTTGCCTTGCCAGAGAAAGGTCAAATTATAGTATAATTTCTTGTTTTGCCGTTTTTGCATGTTTTTTCAGCCACATGGCTTTGTTGGTTGCACCACATAACTTAAAACATTTTTGTTTTCTCTAAATTATACAGGATTATGGCAAACTACTTGCCAAACTAGAATAATTTTCTGAATTTATATATAGGACAATAAAAACAGCATCATGTCATTGACCCAGAAACCGACCAGTTGAGGTCCAGAATCAGACTGATCAGTTAACTCTTTTGCCATTTATGAGACAACGCTTTCCTGCCAGTGACAGAATTTTCCAGCTTTCTGTCACTGGTGTATGGCAGGAATCGCTATTATGCATCTACTGAAAGACGTGATTTTCTTGTTTTTTTGTTGCTTTTTTATGAAACTTACTCATATTCTATTGTTAATAAAACCAGAATGCATGAAGCTTGAATAAAACAGGGTTTTTTGTTTAAAAGCTGTTAAAAATGTTCTGTTCTTTGTTTTGATATATTACATGTTCAGATATTCATACCAGAGCATGTGAGCGGAGCGGAGTGGGGAGCGGAGTGGTAATATTTCCTTAAGAGCGCAGAGCGCCTTTCTGAAGATTCCGCTCCACTCGCTCAATACGCTCAGCGCCGCTCGCTCAACCCAGAATACCGTTTGGTGATTTGCTTGTTCGAGATCGAGAATCTGTAGAGCAGTTATGGAGTTCAGATATTGTTTCAACGAAGTTACAAGCCTTATACATAAATGTAAAGTAAAAAATCTAAGTTAAGAATGAGCAGGGAGAAGAAACTGAGACAACAAAATATTGTGGGGACCATGAAAATTTTGTGAAAATGATAAAAAATGCTTGCGGTGGCTGCCAACTTAAAAAATAAAAAATAAAATAAAAAACCGCTGACGGGGAAAGAGTTAATATTTCAACACTTTTTTCCAAATTGTTTCACCTGAATGATCCCGGCATTGAACTCGGACCCTACATCCAGGGGGTAGTTCTCCATCATGTAGAATGCCACCGCGCACATCACCAACACATGCTGTTGGTTGTGTAGATTCACACATCTGAGAGACACACACAAACAGTGTTAGGCATAAACACACTCATCTATTTTCAGTGAGGCTATCTGATGCTAATTCTAGACCTGGTCTTTAATGAGGGATCTCAGATCTCAGTAAGACACCATACATTACAGCTAATGAGGAGCTGATGACCATGCAGCGTGCAGGCGTGTGTTGTGATTGCCAGTGTGAACCTATTATTGAGTCTCCCAGCATGCCACAGAGACTTTGGCATTAGCTTTGACTGCATGGGGCATAACCTCTTAAGAGAGACGCTAACAGTGTGAAGTCTTTCATCCAATGCAGGACGCAAGCCGTTAACCTCTCATTCCATATTCTCTTAAATAAAACAGCAAATATTAAGAGTTAGTGTAACACTAATGATTGGTGTGTGGAGTAGGGGTTAAAGCTCAAGGCTGCTAATAGGAAGATTGTTGATTCAATCCCAACAAAGACAGAGCGTAAAGTGTGTGTATGTATTCAGGTTGTAGTGTTACTCACTGTGCTATAGCTCTAAGGTTAGACAGCAGGTATTCATTGACGGTAGGTATAAGCTGGCGTGCCGTATCGTCCAGTAGGTCGCACTCCAGCACGTACAGAACTCCGTGAAGAGCGCCAATTCGACTGGGCAGATGAGTGCTACGCAAGGTGCTCTCCAACAGACGGCACACAGGCTCTGCGATGGCTTTATCCTGACACAAGTACATTAGTCCCGACTGTTAAATAGCTGTAGCTGCATTTATTTATATAGCTACTGCATCAGTGCATATACATGCTCACCATGCCAAGCACTGCCGCTGCTTTGCAGATAGCTGGCACGAGGTACTGGTTGAGAATCTCATCCTCTGGTGGATGAACCTTCTGCAGCTCAGTCAAAGTGGAGAACATCATATCAAACTGATTCCTCTCAGTGAAGAGATCAGACACTGCCAGCAGCTTAAAGACACAGCGAGACAAAGAAAGGATGTGTTAACTGTATAGGAAGAAAATTTGAACATTTACACTCTTACTGTTCACTGTTCAAACTCTCAAATGTTTATTTACTGTGCTAGGCAGCAAAAGGTGAAACATGTCAACTGAATCACTAAACAAATACACAGTATGACTAGTATAGCCTGATTCATGAACAAATTACTCCTGTGACCTAGTTCTTATAAAGAATCATAAAACTCACAAACTCAGGAGTTATCAGTCTTAATAAAATTAATTATGTACTCAATGAAAGAGTGGTTACTGAATTTACATCTGACTCACTTCAGTTATGTCTGATTTGAAATGAGGCAAGAACTGTTTTGTAACGTTAGTTTTGTGACAAAGCAGAGCAAAAGATTTCAGTTAAACATAATTTCTGTTCATTCCTGCTTAATTTAAATTAAAACATTGAATCATGACTTAAATGTTTAAAACATTAAACACACAGTATGTCAGTTTCACTGCTAGATGTCACTTCAAAATGACCAAAATAGAATGTTACCAAAATAGCACTTTTTGTGTGAATTAAAAAAAAAAAATTATTTCATTGATTTTAAATGTTCCTTTTGTGTTCATTTCGTAAAAAGCAGCAAGTGGCACTACATCCAGGTTTCTTTTAACAAGTGTTGATTTTGCAGAAAATTATTTTGTAACAATAGCTGTTCTATACAGATCATGCCTTTTTCATTGGGGCCAAAAAATATATAATTTATCGTCAAAATCTGGAAAAATATTACAGATATACATTTTTAGCTATATCGCCCAGCCCTACTATACAACATAAAAAGGCTGATGAAATGCTAAGCATAGACTCACTGATCTGACCACCTCACTGAGGAGCACAACAGGAGTCTTCTTGCTACTGGGGCTGCCAGGGAGGATCCACTGACTGTAGAGCTCCAGAAGGAACTGAGAGCAGGAATGGATGTCAACCCCAGCACGGTGCTTCCTGGACAGGACAAGAAGAAAGACAATGCAGGGTGTGAAGTCTGGAGGATGCTGGTTTTAAAGAGCTGTTCTGCTAGTAACTTTGTAAAAGTCTGACCTGGAGTTGATTGGCGATAATGGCGGTGAGGCAGGTGCTGGAGCATCTGCTTCATCTTCCTCATCCTCACCCCACTCCTCCTCCCTCAGAGGGGTGATGTTATTTCCCAACCACACTGAGTGAATTGACACCTGCAAAGTACAGGATTGATATTTTAAGCAGAAATGTGCCTGCAGCCAAATACCTTATTCAGAAAGTCATGGATAATAGCTTCAAAGCGATTTACGAATTCTACCGAATAATAGAAAAAATATATGGCATACTCCTTGTGTTTGCTGGATAACAAGCAAGCTACATCAACCTCTTACAATTAATACGCAACAATAAGTGTGTGAAGTGAATGAGTGTAAACTCTAAATGAAATAAGCGTGAATCAAATATGCAGATAAATGTTAATAAAATCAAGGTTTGTAGAATAGTCAGTTTACTAACTTGACCCATTTTGTAGTCCATGTTGCCCATCTCCCTCTCTGTGTTAATCTGCAGCAGGAGTTTCTCATGGCTGATGAGGGTGCCTGAACATGCAGATATAAACACATACACACAAAGGTCAAGAATACGACAAGAGACTGTATACATACAGAGCAAGAGGATCTTTCGGCTGACCGCTGACCTGCCGTTGAGGATGATAAGGATGGCACGGGGTCCCAGGCATGATAGGGGAAATGTGTGGCGATGTTGTCTCTCTTTGACACCATGGCCTGAATCTCACGCTCAACCATACCTCTAATCACACTCAGCTTGCGACCAAACCTACAAAACACACAAACGTATGATCCACATCTAAACCTAGAGGCCAAACATAATAAAATAAATGTGTACATACCTGGTGTCCAGAGCTTTGAGGATTTTGTTTCGGGGTTGCTGTTCAAGGCAGCTGACGGCTGGGTTTCCTGCTGTTGGCAAAGTCATGGCACTCAGCACCAGAGAGGTGATGGCCTGAACCGCCAGTATATTGATCTGAGTCCTCTCCATATCCTCCTGTGACACAAACAGACACGTTTTATCCATTACCAAAACCTGGATGAGTGTTTTTATTTTTGCTAGAAGTTGAATGATTTACCTCTTGCTGGGTTTCTTCTTCTTGGTCCATCGTGATTGGCTGAGTGACCAGCACTCCCAACAGAGTGGCCCACGTCTCCTCAAACTGTGTCCGACTGCTCCAGCCTGCAAAGAGACCACATGAACAAATCGAGCTGTTTAATTATCATGTACTATACATAAGACTATACATGAGGTCTGCCTGATAATATATATGTATATTTATATTTATTTCTTATTTTTTTATTATTGGACTGATTGTTTATTTATGTATCGTACAGAGTATGTTTATGTATAGATTCAAAAGCTTGGGGTCAGTAAGATTTTTTTTATGCGTTTTAAAGAAGTCTCTTATGCTAACCAAGGCTGCATTTCATTTATCAAAAATGCAGAAAAAAACAGCAATACTGTGAAATATTAACTATATAAATAATATAATATTAGATAATAATAATCAATTATATATATTATATATTAAGAATTATTAATAATTAATTTAATATAAAATATAAACTGTTTTCTACTTAAATACATTTTAAAATGTAATTTATTCCTTTGATACAAAGCTGAATTTTCAGCATTCATTACTTCAGTCTTCAGTCTCACATGATCCTTCTGAAATCATTCTAATATGCTGAGCTGATGCTTAAGAAACATTTATTGTAATTATCAGTGTAAGTTTGATAAATTTTTTTCAGGATTCTTTGATGAATAGACGGTTCAAAAGAACAGCCTTTGTGTGTAAAATAATGTTTTTTTCATAACAACATAATTGTCTTAACTGTCACTTGTGATCAATTTAATACATCCTTGCTGAATAAAATTAATTTCTTAATAATGAAAAAAAAATAAATTCTTACCCCAAACTTTTGGACTGTTGTGTATACTCCACTTAATCAGTAATTTGACATAGTAGCTTACCTATTTAAGGCACTATTTAAATTATCTTATGCCTCCACATATGTCTTTACTATCATTCATTTTTTCAGGGTTCAGGGTTATAACGAAGAAATCAAAGATTCTGTAAGATATCGTAAAATTTCATGACTACTTTTAAAGAGACACAAACTCTGAAACTAGTCTCTCATACCCAGAGTGTTAATGCGGTAGAGGAACTCTCTGAAGACATCTTCCTCCTGCAGGAACTCTACAGGGATCTCTGGCAATGCTGTGCCAAATTCTCCACTTGGCCTGGGTGACCAGCCCAGCTTCCAGACCTGTTAAATCAAACAAAACAAAAAAAACTTTCATATGCTTCTAAACACACATACAGTGGGGAAAAAAAGTATTTAGTCAGCCACCAATTGTGCAAGTTCTCCCACTTAAAAAGATGAGAGAGGCCTGTAATTTTCATCATAGGTATACCTCAACTATGAGAGACAAAATGAGAAAAAAAAATCCAGAAAATCACATTGTAGGATTTTTAAAGAATTTATTTGCAAATTATGGTGGAAAATAAGTATTTGGTCAATAACAACAATGAACGCATACACACTCAATCATTGTCTCTCACCAGTGGTGGGATTCGGGTGTAGCTGTTCACAATGGGCAGCCTGGCCAGGCTGATGATGACATTCCGTAGGGTAGGTGTAAGGAACGCTGGAATGTTCTTGTTTCTGTGGTGACCCAGAGCCAGCACACTTTGCAGCCCTTCAACCAGCTCAGCCATGATCTCACAACACCGCCATTCAAGTTGTTCTTAAAAAAAAATAAAAAAAATTTAAAAAACAACCGTGACATTAACGCTTGTTGTTGTGGTCATCATGGATCAGTGTGTAACATATATGTGTTAACCTACTATCTGCAGAGTCCAACTGGTCTTCTGACTGCTCTGTTTTCCGCTCCGGCCTCAGAAGCTGGTCACCAGGACCAACAGCGACTACATAACACACATAACATCATAATCACAAAATGAATATAAATTTTGATTGCACTTTTATAAGGTTTTTTATAAGTGTTTTCCAAAGTTTTGCAACGCACACCTGCGTGGATGAGGAGCTGTATACAGTGGACAATGGAGCAGGTGTGTGTGAGGTAAGTGTGTGAGGCGAAGTGTGTCCACACCGCCGGCTGCTGGAGAGCCAGACACAGACACGACAGACTCATCTGCATGTCCACACTCAGAGGCAGCTGATCCTGCAGCAAACGCCAAACCACCACCTACAGATACAGAAAGAGAAACATGCGCTGAGTGGCTTTTATTTATATAGGACGTTATGCCTACATCATACGCTGAAACGCAACTCTCTCGTGAACGCACATAGGGGAAGCTAGAGATTATGGTTTATATAGTTTTAAATATTTATATTTTTCTCACACAAACGCATCGCTTCACTTCAGAAGGCCTTTATTAACCCCCGGAGCCATGTGGAATACTTTTCATGATGGATGGATGCACTTTTTTGGGCTTCAAAATCTTGACCTCAATTCACTACCATTATAAAGCTTGAAAGAGCCAGGACATTTTTAAATATAACTCCGATTGTATTCATCTGAAAGAACAAAATCATATACACCTAGGATGGCTTGAGGGAGACCTTATTTTTCAGGATAGACCAGCCAATGAGCATGCTATGCTAGCATTAATTTTGTCGACGAAAAATGATAATTGACAAGCTTTTTTCCCCATGTCAATTAACGAGACAACAATAAGGTCAATAAACGATAACTGTGACTATACCAACATGCAATATTGTTGACGATAAAAGACGAGACTAAAATGTATAAAAAAATTTAAAAAACTATACCAAATTTTTTTTTCTTCGTTATTGTTGAGAAAAAAGAAGGAGACAAAATATTATTGTGGACTACTGTACATGTCTCTCCTACGCGAGCTTTCATGTGCGTGGTTGCCAGATATCAAGAGTTCAAATCCCCAAATCAGAGCTTCTCTGCTAAAAGGTTACATTTTCTGTCCGGTGTTTTGCTTAATTTTTGCAATCTGGCAACCATGCTCACACGCTCACTCTACATTGCGGAAGCGCGAACGATGATCTGAAAACAGACAAACAAGTAAGCTGGAGTTTAGCGAATTCCATGTGAGACGTTCGGCTTAAATGAAAGTGTCATTCAGTCTGTCTGTGTTCTGTCATGAGATCTCGAGTATTTTGTTTATGATTGTAGTTGCTAAATAAACGCACTTACTCAACCGCTGTTGTTTTAATAGAGAAACATCATTGAGTGAGTGAGTGACAGTGAGTGAGTGATGTGACATGTGGCCAAGTATGGTGTCTCACTCCGAATTTGTGCTCTGCATTTAACCCATCCAAGTACACACATACAGCAGTGAGTAGTGAACACACACACACACACACAGTGAACACACACAGTGCAAATCCAATAATTCCATTGCAATTTGGAATTACTATTAGGAATTTCACTGTTAAACTATTTTTTGTTTGTTTTTACCAGTTTTCATAATGTAGACAGAGAGAGTGCTAATCTAAGTCTTTGATATTAATTTATATATTAAATAGCCTATAATAAATCAGTACACTAGATAAGGTAAAATAAACTATGTGTATGAGTCCACATGATTTGTACAATACCTGAAATGTAAAAATAAATTTCTCAAATGACAACAATCATTGCGATAATTAAAAAAATAAAAATAAATTCAGTTTAACCATTATACAACATGACGAAGACATGACTAAGTTTTCATTGACTAAAACTAGACTAAAATGTTCAGACATTTAGCAGATTAAAACTTGACTAAACAAAAACAGGACAAGGTTGACTAAATATGGTAATAATTAAAAAGTACATTTGACACAGGACTAAGACTAATTTAAAAGACTAAGGTGATGACTTTATCAACTGGCGACTGGCTCTTTTACTGAGAAGGCGGGACTGTTCCGCCATATTGTGTGTTGCACTTTCTCCCATTTATAAGTAGTAGGAATACACTGTCTTTGTATATCTAACGTCTCTGTTTTTTACTTACTGGCATAACTCGGTAAGTTTGTCTGTTTGACCAATGTGTGCCAAACATTTATTTTCACAGTGCCAAGGCTTTTATTTTAACAGCATTGAGATTGTACTGTCGGTTATAGTGTTTACTTCCTTTTTATTCACGTTTTTAAGAAGTTTATTTCTGATAAATACTATAAGAGAATTACATAATCAAGATCTTTCTTTCAATATTGATTCATTTTCAAATGATCAAACAATCCATATTGGTCAACCACTAGAATATTCCCTATAAAATCATCCCATTTGCAAAGGATGCATCAGTCTTACCTCTATGGCGAGGGTGCTGAAGGTGGTAATGAGTGTCTCTTTGTCTTTGGGAATGTGCAGTGAGGACGGCAGTTTGGACAGAGACAGCAGGTACTGACTCAACACGCCACACAGACTCAACACTGTCTGATAAAACCCAGGCTCACCTGCAACCACACACATAAACACATGCAAAGAGAGAGTGTTCATTACCACTTTACTATAATTTGCAGCATTTGCCACAAGGATAATTCCTATGTACTTACACCTACGAAAGTTTGGACAGATCTACTCATTTTATTTTTATTACTATTTTCACCATGTTGTTATAATAATAATAATAATAATAAAATCATCAAAACAATGAGATAACACAAATGTAAGGATGGGGATTTTGCAGTGACCACAGCAATGTTAAACAAAGTTTGCCTTTGCCTTGATTATAGTATTGTACACATTTGTATGTTGATCAGTGCCACCTAATGTAGAGGAACAGATTTGGATTGTTGTTAGCCAATAGTTACCCAAACAGTTAGGGAGGGGGTTTGTGAGTTGATGAAAAGCTAATAATGAATTAAAATGAATGTAAAATTATTAGATTTTATTCAATTCATATTTGATTAGGTTCCTAAAATACCAGTGTGAGCATTAACCAAAATTAGAAAACATGAATATACGAATGTGCCATTAGATTAAACTTATTTAATTATTGTTTGGAGTGAATAAGCTTCATTCTGACTGCGACTCACTGTAGACTTGATTAAGCTTCTCCCAATAGTCCGCACACATTTTGGAGGAGGATAGGAGGGGCTGATGAGGGGAAGGGAGGAGCTCAATGACACCAGCCAATCGCTCGAAGGCCACCTGTTGAGCGGTGTCAAATATTTAACCCATCCAAGTACACACATACAGCAGTGAGTAGTGAACACACACACACACACACAGTGAACACACACAGTGCAAATCCAATAATTCCATTGCAATTTGGAATTACTATTAGGAATTTCACTGTTAAACTATTTTTTGTTTGTTTTTACCAGTTTTCATAATGTAGACAGAGAGAGTGCTAATCTAAGTCTTTGATATTAATTTATATATTAAATAGCCTATAATAAATCAGTACACTAGATAAGGTAAAATAAACTATGTGTATGAGTCCACATGATTTGTACAATACCTGAAATGTAAAAATAAATTTCTCAAATGACAACAATCATTGCGATAATTAAAAAAATAAAAATAAATTCAGTTTAACCATTATACAACATGACGAAGACATGACTAAGTTTTCATTGACTAAAACTAGACTAAAATGTTCAGACATTTAGCAGATTAAAACTTGACTAAACAAAAACAGGACAAGGTTGACTAAATATGGTAATAATTAAAAAGTACATTTGACACAGGACTAAGACTAATTTAAAAGACTAAGGTGATGACTTTATCAACTGGCGACTGGCTCTTTTACTGAGAAGGCGGGACTGTTCCGCCATATTGTGTGTTGCACTTTCTCCCATTTATAAGTAGTAGGAATACACTGTCTTTGTATATCTAACGTCTCTGTTTTTTACTTACTGGCATAACTCGGTAAGTTTGTCTGTTTGACCAATGTGTGCCAAACATTTATTTTCACAGTGCCAAGGCTTTTATTTTAACAGCATTGAGATTGTACTGTCGGTTATAGTGTTTACTTCCTTTTTATTCACGTTTTTAAGAAGTTTATTTCTGATAAATACTATAAGAGAATTACATAATCAAGATCTTTCTTTCAATATTGATTCATTTTCAAATGATCAAACAATCCATATTGGTCAACCACTAGAATATTCCCTATAAAATCATCCCATTTGCAAAGGATGCATCAGTCTTACCTCTATGGCGAGGGTGCTGAAGGTGGTAATGAGTGTCTCTTTGTCTTTGGGAATGTGCAGTGAGGACGGCAGTTTGGACAGAGACAGCAGGTACTGACTCAACACGCCACACAGACTCAACACTGTCTGATAAAACCCAGGCTCACCTGCAACCACACACATAAACACATGCAAAGAGAGAGTGTTCATTACCACTTTACTATAATTTGCAGCATTTGCCACAAGGATAATTCCTATGTACTTACACCTACGAAAGTTTGGACAGATCTACTCATTTTATTTTTATTACTATTTTCACCATGTTGTTATAATAATAATAATAATAATAAAATCATCAAAACAATGAGATAACACAAATGTAAGGATGGGGATTTTGCAGTGACCACAGCAATGTTAAACAAAGTTTGCCTTTGCCTTGATTATAGTATTGTACACATTTGTATGTTGATCAGTGCCACCTAATGTAGAGGAACAGATTTGGATTGTTGTTAGCCAATAGTTACCCAAACAGTTAGGGAGGGGGTTTGTGAGTTGATGAAAAGCTAATAATGAATTAAAATGAATGTAAAATTATTAGATTTTATTCAATTCATATTTGATTAGGTTCCTAAAATACCAGTGTGAGCATTAACCAAAATTAGAAAACATGAATATACGAATGTGCCATTAGATTAAACTTATTTAATTATTGTTTGGAGTGAATAAGCTTCATTCTGACTGCGACTCACTGTAGACTTGATTAAGCTTCTCCCAATAGTCCGCACACATTTTGGAGGAGGATAGGAGGGGCTGATGAGGGGAAGGGAGGAGCTCAATGACACCAGCCAATCGCTCGAAGGCCACCTGTTGAGCGGTGTCAAATATGACCGTCCCATGATCCTTACACACCCTCTGTACCCCAACACTCAGACATGAAGCCAGCAGACACAAGTTAAAGTCCTGCAAATAAAATAACATGACTTCAGTGTCTGTTCATGTTGTAAAATGAGATATATGCGTCTATTTGGTCTTTACCTTGCAGGTCATGATTGCGTTCAGGTCAGATTGAGGAAGTTTTGTCAGCAGCTCTGTAGTTTCATATAGAGCTCCTTCAAGTCTCAAACAACACTGAGATTTCACCAGAGCAACATACCACTCCTGCAATGCACACACACAATAGAAATGTTATGTTTTTGCTAAGGATTTTTCAGCTATTTTCAGCTAGAAACCAAAGTAATTCATACTTTATTGGGTTCCACATTTTCAGGGGGAGGGGGCAGGTCCCCATCCAGTGGGTGCGAGGTGATGGGGGCGGCAGGGCTCGTGGTATCTTCAGCAACAGTGGCTCTGAACCTGTCCAGTAGAGAGTAGAACCGCTGATGCCTGACATAAGGGAAAAAAAGGGCATTTTAAAAAGCAGTGTTGGGAGATCTTATCAACAGCAACAAAACAAATAGATCAGAAGTAAACTGATGAGGCGCTTTACCTTTGCGCAAGGCCACTGGTCTGCAGGTACTGCTGAATCCTGTCCAGCTCCTCCAGTGGCAGCTGAGCGATACTATTCTACAGTAGGAGAAGAAAACACAATCCTCAATTGGTAACCATTTAGTGCAGTGGTACTCATCCAGGGGTCCGGGGCCCACTAGGTGCCCTTCCAAGGGGGCTGCAAGATGGCTTAATATGATATAAAGCAGATGTAAGCTGACATTGTATTACTTATTTTAGTTTGTTCCCTCAACAACTGTCATTTTAATTTAACTAATCATTAAAATTATTATTATATTATTATTAATATTTTGCCACATTCTTCATTAATAAAATTACAAACCTCAGTGCACAATTTGCCACACCACAAACTGTCAAACACATCATACCAGCAAACATACACTCGTTTTCATCCTTCTCTCCACTCTCTGAGGCAGAAGTCTCTAAACTCATCCTTTCCAATCATCCTACTACTTGTCCGCTTGATCCTATTTCATCACATCTCCTTCAAGCCATTTCTCCTGCCGTTGTACCTGCATTCACTCACATCGTTAACACATCCCTTCACACTGGTGTTTTTCCCTCAACATTTAAACAGGCTCGTATAACCCCACTTCTTAAGAAATACACTCTTAACCCAACTCTTTTAGAGAACTACAGACCGGTTTCCCTTCTAACTTTCATTGCAAAAACACTTGAACGAGTTGTGTTCAACCAAGTCTCTGCCTTTCTCACACAGAACAACCTCCTGGACAGCAACCAATCTGGCTTCAGAAGTGGACATTCGACCGAGACTGCCTTGTTTCAGTTGTTGAAGCCCTAAGACTGGCAAGAGCGACTTCCAAATCTTCTATACTTATCTTGCTGGATCTGTCCGCTGCTTTTGATACGGTGAACCACCAGATTCTCCTGTCAACCCTATTGGAAAATGGCATCTCAGGAACCGCACGCCAGTGGTTTGAGTCTTATCTCTCAGATAGGTCCTTCAAGATATCTTGGAGAGGTGAGGTGTCCAAGTCGCAACATCTAGCTACTGGGGTGCCTCAGGGCTCAGTTCTTGTACCTCTTCTCTGTCTACATGGCATCACTAGGTTCTGTCATTCAGAAACATGGCTTTTCATATCACTGCTATGCTGATGACACTCAACTCTACCTCTCATTCCATCCTGATGATCCGACGATAGCTGCTCACATCTCAGCATGTCTAACAGACATTTCTTGTTGGATGACGGACCATCACCTTCAACTCAACCTGACTAAGACAGAACTGTTTGTGGTCCATCCAGTTAGGCTCATCAACCATAACTCCTTCAAAAACAGCTAGAAACTTGTGTTTGATGATAAGCTGAATTTCTCAGACCACATTGCTAAAACTGCCCAGTCCTGCAGATTTGCTTTATTCAACATTAGGAAGATCAGGCCCTTTCTTTCAGAACATGCAACACAACTCCTTGTTCAAGCTCTTGTTCTATCCAGGCTGGACTATTGCAATGCTCTCTTGGCAGGTCTTCCAGCCACTTCTATCAAACCTCTACTATTAATCCAAAATGTTTATTGTAATGTATAATATTTATATAAATATTTAAATATTTAATTCAACTAATTTAAAGTGCCTCTCCTTGTTTCTGTATAATACATTTTTTTGAAAATGAGCAGTATTGTCATTACAGCAGAATTGCCAGGAATTTCTTGGGGGAGCTTCAAATATCGTCTTTGACAATAAGAAAAGCTGATTTGTGGTATTTGACTTAAAGTGAGACACAAGAATAGATCTTGATTATAACTAAAAATGACTGGGAAGCCACTGGCTTCTAAAAGAATCATTTAGGAGTCAAATGACTTGCCATATTACAGAATTGCTTGTTATAGACTGTTGTTATGAGCCTAAGTCCTTTGTTCGTTGTTTCCATTCTGCCCTCTTGTGTTCTCTCCGTGTATGTGTATGTTTGTGTTTCAGATGGGCAGTTCCTTGAGATAATTTGCTGGAGGCTGCGATTGGTTCTCCTCCTCACCTGACCTCACCTGATCAGTCATCCATTCTCACAATCTATTACAGTAGTAGAAGTTTCACAGGGAGCTGCATTAAATTGTTTATTTTTAACTGCATTTTTTGTCATAGTATTTCAATTCAGTGATTTATTTGCAATTATTTTAGTTTTATTTAATTATTAAAAATAAGCTGGTAGTGAGTTGTTACTGTGTGTGTGGCCGTGTTTTACCTGCAAGGTCTCGGCAAGCAGCATCTCCACACGTCTGCAGGCGAGTGTGTCCACCATGCGAGCCAGCACACGGAACGGCGTGTTGAGTAGCTTGTCCACGTATAGCATTAGCAGAGCCCCAGACTGACTTAGATGAATGCCCTCAAGACACTGCAAGGTCTTCTTCAGCATTACCGGCTGGAGATTTACACATTTAAAACAAAAAGTGACTGAAAAGATAAGCAAAGCACAAACTAAAAGAAGATGCAGTGCATGTGCGTATACATACAGTAGAAAGATTGTCGCAGCGTGATTGTATAGCCTGTATGAAGAGTCCGCTGGCTGCCGAATTTCGGTGCACAGCACTGATGAGATCCTGCACTGGAGGCTCATGGGAAAGACTGATCAGATCACTCACATGATTCACTGTCAGCCATGTCAGATGCTCAGAGTCATGCAGGTTTTGACACTGAGACAGGAGGAGGAAAAACAAAGATGACCTTTTTAGTTTTTGTAAAGTGCTATGTATAAAATATTTCATATGAAATACAATACTGAATTGTAAGCTTGGCAAACAGAGATGTTTTATATAATGGTACCATACCATTTTGCATATATAATAGCCGGTACACTCACTTTAAGGGGCAGTTCACCCAAAAATGGAAGTTCTCTCATAATTTACTCACCCTCAAGTTGTTCCAAACCTGTAAGAATTTATTTCTTCTGCAGAACACAAAAGAAGATATTTTGAAGAATGTGGGTAACCAAACTGTTTCTGGTCCCTATTGACTTTCCATTTGTTTTGTTTTTTCCATACTACGGAAGTCAATAGGGACCAGCAACTGTTTGTTCACCCACATTCTTTAAAGTATATTTTTTTGTGTTCAGCAGAAGAAAGAAACTCACAGGATTGGGACAATTTGAGGGTGAGTAAATGATGACAGAATTTTCTAGTAAAATTTCTTTAAAAAAAAAAAATCTTAAGTGATATGGAAGTTAAGATGGGTAAAATAAAACTCATGCTCAGACACTGCTTTAAAAAAAAAAAAAAGGCACACATTGCTTATGAAATCTCACCACATAGTCACAGAAGAGGATAAGTGCTCCACGTCGGACAATCTCTCTGTTACACATAGCCAACTTCCCCTCAGGTCTCTCCTCCTCTCCAGATGAGTGCGGACTCAGCAGCTTAGTGCTGGACAGACTGTGCCTCCTGATGAAATTATAAAGGGAAAACAAGTTGCTTAAAGGCAAAGTTACATATTTGTATAAACAACAACAGATCTACCATAGACTCTTACAAAGGGCAATTTCAAGCTTCACTTTACCAACATATAACTGTAATGACTCACAACACGTGGAAGGCCAATTTGTTTTTGCCCTTACAAAGAGCAATTTATTTCTAAAATTATCACAACCCTCTACGGACACCTTGGCAATTGATTCGCCATTGGCTAGTAATTTTTTTTTGTTTACTTGCCAGACTGAAATACTATACGTATATACTATATTATATAACCATAAACTTAGGACTGGTGCTGGTGCTTTTTTTGGTCATTCAGTGTTCCTGTAAAAAAAATTGAAAGAAAAAAAACTAACAATAATACTGATAAGATATTATTATTATTATTATTATTATTATACAAATTCTACTAGTAAGAACAATATAAAGCGCACCAAGGATTAACGAGCCTCTGGATTCATGAATATTAATCAGGTTGTGTGCTTTCGCTCAAACTGATTTGCTGAAATCTAAACAGGGACGATAATAGGTGAGTACCAGCTAATGAGATTGTCGTTTGCGCATTAGTTCCGCCCACTACCGGAAAACCCTTCTTAAAAGCTGAAGAATTCCAAAGGAACTAAGAATATCAGCAAACAAAGAATATCGTTTACATGTATCACATCAATTCTGCATGTTATGTAAGACTCTCTCGCTCTCTCTCTCTCTCTTTGTGCATGTGAGAGAAAGCGTCAGCAAGTCGTGCGCCTTCACACTACAGTGTACGTTACGCCAAATACACAAACACAGGTGCGCTGCGCATCTATCGAGATGAAATTATAAATATCACAGATCGCTTGACGGACAGTGAAACTCTGAAGCGCTCAGTGTTCTGTGGGTGAAAATATATCTGTGCTAAACTTATACTCAGCCTCCAACTCACACACTGGCGAGTAAAATCTAAGAATTTATTAGCCATTGGCTAATATTAGACATCATTTAGTCACCCAGAGTGAAGATTTAGTCGCATATGCGAGTGATTTACTCGCAATGTAGAGGGTTGTATCAAGAATTTTGCTTAGCCTGGTTGTAACAGTTGGATGAGGCTTCATTTTAAACAGCCTTTCTCATTAGGCTGCTAGCATGTAGTCTGACCTGGGTGTCTGATGCACCTCTGACCACCAGGTGTAGTTGGTGTAGTTGATGATGAGAAGGACCTGACACCAGAGCAGGACCAGAGATGGGTGTGTAGTGATGAGCTGGAGCACCAGGCTGTTCAAACCCTCCAAAGCATAAAAATTACCCCCTTCCTCTTCCTCTGCCTTCAACAGCCTGCTGCCCGCTGCCGTGATTCGCCGGAACATTCCTGGAAAGTTGATGGCAAATGGGAACTTACTGAGAAATTTGCTGAGCTGGTAAAGGGCCGGTGTTTGGTTCTTACACCATGACATGTGACTATATGAGTTAAGATGCGAGATTCTGCCTACCTGATTTGAAGATGTGGATCAAACACATGAGCAGTGTGCCCAGCTGCTGACAGTAGAACGTGTGCTGTTGTTCACTCATATCAACTTTCACCTGTTTAGTGGCGATATCATCCAGCAACACCCCCACTAACTGCAATAAGAACCTGATAAACAAAAAGAGATTAATTAAATAATTATTATTATTGTTGTCGTGTTTGCTTTGTTGCTATGAACATTTAGAACATAGAACAACGGAACATTTTAGCAGAAGCATTCAACTAATAATACAAAAAGGAGGAAAACCTGTTTTTCCCCATTCAGTATGACTGTACAACAACAACAAATATAATTATCAAGGTTATTATTATTACTCAATATATTTTATTTTAGCATTTTTCCACACTGACTGACTTTATTTCCAGTGACCAGCAATTACCTAGCAAACGTTTCCTCAGGAGGGACGCACTGTGGCTCTCCATTGGCGTCTTCCATGGTGGTGGGCGGGGCTTCAGGAGGGGAGGGGTAATCGTCACACAATCGACGGATGGTGGGACAGGAAAGGAGGTATGGCGACAAAGAAAGCTCCTGAATACGAGACAGAATGATGTCCTCTGTGGACTGTGAGATGAGGACGCGCAGGATGGCGAGAATCCCAGACACCCACAACTGCACCGTACCCACTGATGCCTACAGAAGAGAACAGGCAAATAATGAGCCACTTAACAGGATTAAGGTGCATTGGCAATACTGTCAAGCTAATTTTTCGGTGGGTAAAAAAAAAAAAACTGTAATTTCAATAGGAATCCATGTGATAGTGAATTTTGTGTGAAGGCAAAAGATTTCCCTACATAGTTTGTCACTCAAATTCACCACGTGTACCAACAGAAAGCTGCTAAAAGTGACTTCTGTCTGAGCTATGCTTCATACACTATATGGACAAAAGCATTGAGACACACCTCTTAATTGCCGAATTCAGGTGTTTCAGTCAGACCCATTGCCACAGTTAAATAAAAACAAGCACCTAACCACGCAGTCTGCATTTACAAACATTTGTGAAAAAATGGGTTGTTCTAAAGAGCTCAGTCAATTTAAGCGTGGTACTGTGATATGATACCACCTTTGCTACAAGTCAGTCTGTGAAATTTCATCTCTGCTATTCAGCTGTGAGTGATATTATTGGAAAGTGTTTAGGAACAGCAGCAAATCAGCCACAAAGTGGAAGATCATGTAAAGTCACCGAGTGCTGAGGAGCATGGTGCATAAAATCATCAACACTCTGCTGATTCCATAGCTAAAGAGAACCAAACTGTTACTGACATTAATATCAGCACAAAAACTGCTTCATGGACTGGTTTTTATGGCTAAGCAGCTGCATGCAAGTCTCACCTAGCACAATACCAAGCGTCAGATTGACTGGTGTAAAGCACGCCGCCACTGGACTATGGAGCAGTGGAAACATGTTCTGTGGAGTGAAGAATAGTCTCATAGGCGAGTCTGGGTTTGGCTGATACCAGGAGAACATTACCTGCCTGACTGCACTGTGCCAGTTGTAAAGTTTGGTAGAGGAGCGATAATGGTATGAAGCTGTTTTTCAGGAGATGCCTGAAAACGCCACTTGCTTCCATGGTGGCCAATCATTCCAGTGAAGGCCAATCATAATGCTTCAGCATACCAATACATTTTGGACAATACTATGCTTCCAAATTTGTGGGAACAGTTTAGGGAAGGCCCTTTTTATATTCCAGCACGACTGTGCCTCAGTGCACAAAGCAAAGTCCTTAAAGACATGGTTGGATGAGTTGTGTGGAAGAACTTGACTGGCCCACACAGAGCCCTGACCTCAACCCCACTGAGCACCTTTGGGATGAACTGGAATGGAGATTGCGAGCCAGGCCTTCTCATTCAACATCAGTGCCTTATCTCACAAATGCTCTACACTGTCCATATAGTGTGTATTGTTACACTACTGACATAGACAATGAACCATTTTGTCCACAAATTCGCCTGATAATAATATACAGTATACTGCACGAGGAAAGTAATCCAAGTGATGCGTGACTGAAGGTTCTCACTAGTGTAGAAGGTGTGATGAACATGCTCTTCAGTAGCATGTCCACAGGCCGCAGAGAGGAGGGAGCCACTGTCTCGAACAGTGTGTTTAACACACCCAAAGCCTCATGGGAGTTCAGGTGCATCTGTCAAGCAAACAAAAGCAAATCTGTAAAGTACACATATTAAAAAAAAAACTGTTCATTAGATTTTATTCTGAATTTGAGATGAAACTCTTGAAAACACGATTATATCAGGACAGGAGGTAGATTAGACAGAACCGTACTTGCTGTTTGCCGATCATTGGAAGGATGATGTCAGCAATCTGTCGTGAAAGCCTCTTCCACTTATCTTCATTCTCTTTATGGCACTGCTGTAGGACTAGAATAAACATCTCCAGCACCTACACACAGAAGCATCCATTAATTTACAGGAAAATCCATGAATGCAACACACACATGCACCAGAACACCAGAAGTGTTACCTGATGGTGTTGTATGAGGCGTAGCAGCATAGACACCACCACCTCCTTTTGAGTGTCCAGCTCCTTCCCTGCATCTGCTTTATTGGAGCCCCGCAGCACAAAGAGGTCGTGTACTATAGGCTGCAGTGCAGGGATTGCTGGGAAATAAAGAGAAGCATAAGAATCAACAGTCTAACTTTTTCAAATGATTAGATTCATGTTTAAACTAGATGTCATATTATGTGAAATTTTACAGCCTTAAAACAGTCATTACATATTCTCCTCAAGGATGTGAATATATATTCGTATTGTGATTCTACACACCATGTGTTACTGCCTTCCTGTCGCTGGCCATAATGCCGTCACACAGCTGTATGATCTTTGGGATGCTGATGATCTGTTTGGAGTGGTAGCGCTCATAGGACAGCAGAACCAGGAAAAAGAAAATGTTGGGCACAATCTCTTCAGAGTGTCTACATAGGAAAAATAAATCACTTTAGTGCAAACTAATGACATTAGCAAATCTGTGCATTTAAGTGTACTCTGCCATTGGAAAGTTTGGGATCAGTAAGATTTTTAAAAAATAGTAATAATAATAATAAATAAATAAACTAATAGTGTTATTCAGCAAGAATGCAACTTAAAAGTTACCAAAAAATTATGTTACCAAAAGATTCTATTCCACTGAGCACCTTTGGGATGAACTGGAATGGAGATTGCGAGCCAGGCCTTCTCATTCAACATCAGTGCCTTATCTCACAAATGCTCTACACTGTCCATATAGTGTGTATTGTTACACTACTGACATAGACAATGAACCATTTTGTCCACAAATTCGCCTGATAATAATATACAGTATACTGCACGAGGAAAGTAATCCAAGTGATGCGTGACTGAAGGTTCTCACTAGTGTAGAAGGTGTGATGAACATGCTCTTCAGTAGCATGTCCACAGGCCGCAGAGAGGAGGGAGCCACTGTCTCGAACAGTGTGTTTAACACACCCAAAGCCTCATGGGAGTTCAGGTGCATCTGTCAAGCAAACAAAAGCAAATCTGTAAAGTACACATATTAAAAAAAAAACTGTTCATTAGATTTTATTCTGAATTTGAGATGAAACTCTTGAAAACACGATTATATCAGGACAGGAGGTAGATTAGACAGAACCGTACTTGCTGTTTGCCGATCATTGGAAGGATGATGTCAGCAATCTGTCGTGAAAGCCTCTTCCACTTATCTTCATTCTCTTTATGGCACTGCTGTAGGACTAGAATAAACATCTCCAGCACCTACACACAGAAGCATCCATTAATTTACAGGAAAATCCATGAATGCAACACACACATGCACCAGAACACCAGAAGTGTTACCTGATGGTGTTGTATGAGGCGTAGCAGCATAGACACCACCACCTCCTTTTGAGTGTCCAGCTCCTTCCCTGCATCTGCTTTATTGGAGCCCCGCAGCACAAAGAGGTCGTGTACTATAGGCTGCAGTGCAGGGATTGCTGGGAAATAAAGAGAAGCATAAGAATCAACAGTCTAACTTTTTCAAATGATTAGATTCATGTTTAAACTAGATGTCATATTATGTGAAATTTTACAGCCTTAAAACAGTCATTACATATTCTCCTCAAGGATGTGAATATATATTCGTATTGTGATTCTACACACCATGTGTTACTGCCTTCCTGTCGCTGGCCATAATGCCGTCACACAGCTGTATGATCTTTGGGATGCTGATGATCTGTTTGGAGTGGTAGCGCTCATAGGACAGCAGAACCAGGAAAAAGAAAATGTTGGGCACAATCTCTTCAGAGTGTCTACATAGGAAAAATAAATCACTTTAGTGCAAACTAATGACATTAGCAAATCTGTGCATTTAAGTGTACTCTGCCATTGGAAAGTTTGGGATCAGTAAGATTTTTAAAAAATAGTAATAATAATAATAAATAAATAAACTAATAGTGTTATTCAGCAAGAATGCAACTTAAAAGTTACCAAAAAATTATGTTACCAAAAGATTCTATTTCTAATAAATGTTCTTTTAAGTTGCAATTCGTCAAAGAATCTTTTTTTTTTATGTATCACAGTTTCTACAAAAATATTAATACGCACAACTGTTACTTGAAGAATATGACCCCAAACTTTTGATTGGTAGTGTATGTTATGGTGACTATGTCAGAAGGTCTTACCTGAACTGCCCCACTTCAATATACTCAAACTGCTTCAGCACAAAACCAATGAATACCTGAAACAAACACAGGATAGTAAAAATATTAGCACTATGCAAGTCTAATGTAGAAATAAAATAAGATTTCTTTTGATTCTCAATTAATGGAGTAAAATGGAGATTAGCATGTTGACTCAGTAGGAGTTTAATCCACAGCTCTAAACGACTTACCTGGTCTGAATCAAGCAAACAGTAGTTGACCCGGAGCTGCACAAGTTGGGTGAGTAGGTCCAGCACCTGTCTTTGTAGGGCCACTGAGGTGCTGGTGGTGTACTGCTTCAGAGCCTTTATCACCAGTGGCTCAAACAAACGGATATGATTATGAATGGCATTCTGAAACACACACAAGTAGTGCCTACTATTAGACACTTGAAATGTAGTGAGTGGTCAAGACATTAGTATTGTTATTGTTTAATAAAACAAAGTAAAATTATTAAAAATCATTTTGCCCATTAAAATAAGATGAAATTAAATTAAACAAAAATGAAAAAAAAAATAGAAACTATGCATTGGCAACTAACTGAAACAAGTTTAAGATGAAGTACTAAAATTATTAACACAAAAAAAATTAAAGCTAAACATAAATATAAAAAACCTAATAAAAATGACAAAAGCACATAAAACAAAAAATACTGATCTGAGTATACACATAAACAAAACATTGTCAAAATTATGATATAAATAAGAGCAACAAATAACAATACCACATCATAACAAATACAATAAAACAGACCCATCAAATAACTAAACAAAATTACAAAAAAAAAAGTTTCCCAAAATATATCAATTTTTCCATATATTTCCATATATTCCTCTTCTACCACAATATTTTATTATTTATTAACAAATAAGAAATATTTATAAATATTTTTTATTTGATATAATGATTTGTGTCACAGGTATCCCCACTGTTTTCACTTCCAATGTAACTCAACATCTTTAACATTTCTGTATATTTTGTTAATAGAAACTATGCATTGGCAACTAACTGAAACAAGTTTAAGATGAAGTACTAAAATTATTAACACTAAAAAAAATTAAAGCTAAACATAAATATAAAAAACCTAATAAAAATGACAAAAGCACATAAAACAAAAAATACTGATCTGAAATATATTTTACTGTTCCAGTTGGTACATTCACCTCATGATAGTATAGACATAAACAAAACATTGTCAAAATTATGATATAAATAAGAGCAACAAATAACAATACCACGTCATAACAAATACAATAAAACAGACCCATCAAATAACTAAACAAAATTACAAAAAAAAAAGTTTCCCAAAATATATCAATTTTTCCATATATTTCCATATATTCCTCTTCTACCACAATATTTTATTATTTATTAACAAATAAGAAATATTTATAAATATTTTTTATTTGATATAATGATTTGTGTCACAGGTATCCCCACTGTTTTCACTTCCAATGTAACTCAACATCTTTAACATTTCTGTATATTTTGTTATTTTATAATTATAGTAACGAATTATGGGGCAACTTACCTTGTCTCCTCGGTGGCGAGTAACATTGGTGATACTTGACCTCAGTTGATTGGAGACTTTTTGCATGACATCAAACCACCTATGGGATTATGGAAATGACATGTTTAGTCATAATGGGCCTCTTAATTTTCTATTTATAGATTTGTCTCTATGAGGAAATGTTATAACACAAGCACACTCTCTCTCACCCAGAGGCGTCCTGTTCTTGTTCAGCTTGCACCATGTTTCTGAGGCTGGCATCTGCGAGGGCCTGGGTAAAGTGAGTGTATGGGGCCATGAAACAGTAATGGTAAAGGCCGGGTCTGACACTGGTCGAGCCGAGCCGGAGGGCCTTGCCCTGGGACCGACATGGGTGAGATGATGCCCCCTCATACTGAGATGCAAGATTGGTCCCAAACAACGCCTTTAACAGCTGTAAGCACAGAGCACATGGTGAAGCCCAGGACTTTGTAATGCCATGGACTGAAACAAAAGAGTTACGCATGTCTAACCTGCTGAACACACACAGTGGCCATAGTGGGTTCCCGTGAGAAACAGGACTTGAGGTAACCCAGGATCTCTTCGACACACTAGACAGATTAAAAACAGGGTTAAAGTTTGTTCTTGACATTAATTTTGCTCAGACATCATAATTTATTCAATGACAAGATGGAATTAGGCTTTGACGTCATACTTTGCCAATATCATGCAGGGTGGCCATCTCAAGCAGCTGTGAAAGGACATCAAGCGCCGACCTCAGGAAACTCCCAAACTTCTCATTAGTGTTGTGAAGGTCTAATGTGACTTTGTAGTTAGCATGTGTAGCTCTCAGTGCATCATAAAGCTTCAGATAAGGAGGGAGGTGATAAAAGCTGCCCAGAGTGGTGGATTTGTTAGCTGCTGGTGTCGCTGTGCTGTCCGCCGATCTGCCTGTATGGAAAAACAGTGCAAGATACCTGTAAATATTCAATTAATAAATAACGAATAGCACCATGAGACCTATTTTCTTTTGCATACCCAGTAGAATTATTCTTATGTATGGTCTACATGTGGCACTGTAGGTGTGACTGTACCTGTGTTGGCTTCTCCTCCTTTCTTTGGGCTCATGGGGGTGGTGCTCGGCTCCATCATCTCCTTCTCTTTACCCTTCCGTCTGATTGGACTGAGAGATGGAGTGTTGCCCAATGAGGGTAAAGTAGCCTGGAAGGAAAGTTTAACAGAAACAATGAAGCTTTTAATACAGTTTGTAAATATTAAATATTACTGATGTGTTGTACACTTAAAATATTATTGTAATCGGGACCTATTGAATTCCTTTACCTTGACCGCAGGGCCTGGGGGTGTGTCATCCAGCACATGGGCACAGATGTTAAGGATCTTCAGCAGGTGTGAGAACAGCTGCTCCACCATAACAACCAGAGAGTGGTCGTTAAGAGCAGACCACGCCTCCTCTACCTTTGAGGGGGCGGGGTTAGACTCTTCCTCACCTGCCCACGGGCTCTTCATGCACTTAGGTGCAACAGCTACAAAACAGGTAGAAAACAACATTTTAAAAACAAACGGGTCTAAAACGAAGTAAAAAAAACACAAAAAATTTTAATAGCTCCAGAGATGAGACTTTCATTAGCCTTGGATGAAGAGAATAAAATCACACTTAACACTCCTCAGGCTATTTGGTCATTTTTGACAGGTTTCATTAGTGTTTATTTAATAAAAATTAAGGTTTCCTTAATCTGAGTGGTTCAAAATTTGGTGACTTTTTTTGAGATATGCAATCTGAACAAACAAAACAAATAACTTAATTCAGTGAGTGGACACTTTGGCGGGCAAAACTGACCGACCACAGGAAATGAATGGGAAAGATTATAATGCAGAGAATTTATGTATTGAATAAAATCAAAATATCAACCAATAATAAAATCTACATATCAACGGTGAACAAACACACATAGAAATAAAGGACCGAGACTATAAAACATCCAAAGTGCAAAAGATTTTTATCTATACTTATAGAAGTGTAGATTTTTACTGTAGTGAAGTTCCAAACGTTTGCTTATACAAATGATGGTGCAATTGAGAAACTTACACGTAAATAAGACCTAAATAAGATCTAAACAACCTAAAATCATATATGCATACTTCTGTTACTACTCCAGGGAATAATTAGCTTTATATAATTTCATTAAAAAAAAAAATCATATATATATATATAACACTTTTTATGTTCTGAGTCAAAAAAAGGCCCCCAACAGACAAGTGGGGCTGAGGAAGGGTAAATTAGATCTAAATAACCTAAGATCCCCTTTAAATTTAACAAAGAATTTTATTGTTACTACTTTATGGGCGATTGTGTTAACACATTTCATTAAAAAAATTACACTCTTCTAAAAAAAATGCTCTAATCTAAATGAGTTTGTACCCGCGAGAAGGTTTCCAGCCAGTAGCAGAGCAGCCTGATGGGCAGACAGATCAAGAGGGAACCAGGCAGAGGAGATGAGAGACAAAACCATACTTGTCACACCGACCGTCAGAGACCGGCGCATGTCCTCACTACCACCAGGCTGAGAGAGACTGCAGAAGAACAAAAACATTTATACTACTGCAGAGTGAAACAGACAAGATAAACAAATGCACTTACATTGGCAATGGAGACTGGCTTTTTATATTCTTCTACACTAACAATATGATCAAGACAACAAATCTACTATAAGCAGGTTTTAATCTTGGTCCTAATGGAAGACTTTACTGCTGTAAGGTTCAGATTCCGAGTGTGAATTCAGATTATGAGTGTGTACCTTAAGGAACGTCCTCGGCTGCGGTACTGGCTGGAGCGGTTGAGATGAAAGACAGAAGAGCACACAAAGCCACAATGCCAGCCTGTGCTCCAAGTGCACACTGGGAAGGTGCTGGACAAAAGGCACAGAGCCTCACAACAGCCAAACTAGAGCGATGACATTAAAGTATAGAGATTGGATCTTGAGTCCAAATAAGACCACTCATCATAATTACAGCAGCTGTTTCTTATTTTTGTACCACCAACCAGAAGAAGCCCACAGAGGTATTCTATTATGACTTTTTTTTTTTAATCTTGTAATTTGGAAATAGTCCACTATATGCAATATTTTAAGGGACTCACGGTGGTGGCTCTGGAAGTGGAAGAGGTGAGGGCGTGGGAGATGGCAGCGATGACCCGAGATAGGTTGTTCTCCACTGTAACATCCGGTGCGCTCTCACCCAGATTGTAGCCACGGTATGTTCTGCAGTGATCACATTAGAAATTAGATTAAAGCCAAATACACAACCATTCAAAACTCTGGGGTCAGTAAGTCTATTATGCTCACCAAGGCTGCATTTATTTGTGTGTAAAAACAGTAATATTGCAAAATACTGTTACAATTTAAAACAGCTGTTTTGTATTATAATATACAGTATTTTAAAATGTAATTTATTCCTATAATGGCAAGGCTGAATTTTCAGCATCATTACTCCAGTCTTGAGCGTCACATGATCCTTCAGAAATCATTCTAATATGCTGATTTGCTTCTCAAGAAACATTTCTTATTATTATCAATGTTGATAACAGATGTTCTGCTTAATATTTTTGTGGAAACAGTGATACATTTTTTTTTTCTCAGGATTCTTGATGAATAGAACGTTCAGCATTTATTTGAAATAGAAAATTTTGTAACATTATATTTACTTTTACATCAATTGATGTGCCCTTGCTGAATAAATAAATAAATGAATACAAATGAAAGCAACCATTTAAACATGTCATGCAAAAAAAGAAGAGCATTAGTGTACCGTGTAATAGTGCTGACAGTGAACTGTGATGGAGGCTGGGTCTCGTGCATTAGCAGCTGCAGGTACACACTGCTCTGATCTCGAGCTATGGCCACAACCGGGTCTGTCTGAGCCTGGTCACAGTCAAAGAACAACCTGGGCACCAACCTGAGTAGAGAAAGATTGAGCAAACTCAAGAGTGTGAGATCTGTGATGTGCAAGATCTGTGGGAGATGATCAGTCAGAGATGAAATGTCTGAATACCTGCTGATGGTGTTTGCTGCCACATGTCTCACACGCGGGTCCTCATCGCTCAGTAGATAAAGCACAACATCATTTAGAACCCTGTCCTGGAGCCTCAACAACTGAAACAATTTTAATAAAATTAAAATATTAATTATAAAATATTAATTGTATTCTACAAATATTTTTGTTTAAAATATATTATAGCTATGGTATATAACATGGATAAAACATTATTATTTAACATTCCGGAAGTGTATATAAAATGGCTAATTTAATTTTTCAATTTACATGATTTTTAGGTAAAGTGTGTAAGATGCTTTTGACTTTTAAGACATAAAATAATGACCAGTATATTCTTCAAAAATGTATCCTTTTCATGAAAGAAAGTCATATGAGAACAACAAAAAGGAGAATAAATGATGACAGAATTATTTTTTATTATTCTTTTAATCATTATTTAATACTAGATTAATACAACAAATGAATCCTTCATCTTAAACGGAGTAAAGAGAGAAAGAGAGATGACTTACCCCGGTATAGTGATGCTCTCCTTTGTGCAACTTCTCAGTTTTTCTCTCCAAGAAACTCACTAACCTGCCAAACACAGAAACAGTAGGTGACTTTAATAATTAGATGTTTGATTCTTTCCATAAAGTTCAGCAGTTACATATGAATATATGTATGAATATATGTGCCTTTTAAATTATTGTATCAAAATGTGCTTTACGATATTAAAATACAAGTAAAGTTTGAGTTAGGGCTGCGCGATATTGGAAAAAACTCACATTGCGATGTTTTTTTTTTTCTGCGATATATATTGCGATATAGAAAAAAAAATCAGATGACTTCAATAGCTCTATATTTAGAAAAAAAATAATCAATGATTGGGGTGATTTTGTAGGCGAGTAAATCAGCACAAGCATAGATAAATAACAGAACAAAGATACAAATGAAATAAGCAGTGCTTTATATATTTCAGGTAAGTCTAACAGTATTCCGGTACAGAAATTGAATAATCAAAATTAAAATAACACTGCATAGATTTCACTATAAATTAAATATAACAAATCTGTGTTAAAGCTACAAAAGTGATTTTTCTTTGTGTTTTGTTGTTTGATTAACGTTCATGACAGAGAAAGCAATAGGAACATTAAACTGCTGTGAACCAATATACTGTTAACTTTACACATCCATTTTCTTTCTCAATTGTTTACCATAAGCAACTGCGTTTACAAGGATACTTGCAGTACACAGTATGTCAGGCACAGATAGATGCAGAAGTGAACAGAATTCAGTGTCCACGTGCATCTGCGTGGCTCTCACCGCGTCTACATTGGACTCGAGCGGCGCGACAAAATACAATAGAATCCATTATAATCAGTGATGCTGTGTGACTGTCTACACTGGGTGTGGCGCGGCACGACATGACAAATCCTCGACAGTAAACTGATGCATTGCTCTCTTTATGACGTACTGACACAAAGTTCAAATGATGATGCAACAGTCGCTTTGTCACGTCCAGTGTAAACAGACTTTGGGGCCATTCACATGTCGCGCCTAAAAACGCTATGCAACCGTGACCTGCGCTCTCCAAGACGATGCGGAAGTTTCAACAAAGGATAAACAGATTTCCAGCACTGAAAATCGCGGGCAGTAGCTCTGCTACTAAATGCATATCTCTGTACAGCTGTCGCATCCGGTGTAGACACAGTGTCTGTGTGTGAGCAAAGAAAACAATCAGTATAAATATAACGATCAGTATACTAAACATCGCACATCCTGCGATGTGACTATCGCGGATGCGCACATCGCGATATCGATGCTGAAACGATATATCGTGCAGCCCTAGTTTGAGGCCACTTACCGGAAATCAATCTCAGCAAGCGTCTCCAAAAGCTCAGTGCGAACCAGCCAATAGGAGCAGTCCTTCAGGGTCAGCAGATCAATGAGCAGCTGCAGGCCAAGTTCACTTAGACTGCCACTGCACAACGCCATAATACAGTGCTGTAGTTGTGTAAAAACACAATATTTTTTTTAATCTTCTAAACCTAACAGACAGATTTAAACTAGCACTCTTTACATGTGTAAAATGATCCGAGGAGCATCTATGTACAGTATAAATATATATTCTCACCCTAATAGCAGCACAGGCCATTTTACATGTGACTGAAGATTCATCTTTCAGACTTCGCTGCAGCAGAGGCACAAAGTTTTCGAGTGTCATAGAGTTTCCTGAGAAAACAGAAAGACAGAGAATGTGAAAACAAGCCTTAGAGTGTGTGATTAATTTGATCAAGCTGTAGCAGTAGTTCTCACCTGTGATGGAGTGGATCTGGGACAGCCATGTCTCCGTGTTGTAGCGTGTATTGAGCTGGATGGCTTGGATTAAAGCCCCACACAGGATGGCTGTGGCTCCTCTGATCTGAGGATCCCCATGTTCAATGTACTGCAGAATATCACTGATGTACTGTTGCTCTGTTCACACAAACAGTTTCAGTAATCTAGTTTGGTATCAATTCAGTTTTGGGGTCTGGACAGTCATGCTCAAAATGTAGCCTTTTGTTGTGAGTGGATGTCTGGAGAGGTCATTCCCTCACTGTATGCTCTTGTCTTGTGTGTTTTTGTCGACCAAGTGGATTATGTTTTGACTGGGAAGGTGTGTTTAATATAGCACACAGCTTGTGTGACTTTCCATTGGCTGTGTGTTTCCGTGTTATCTTGTTTTCTGTGAGCACAAGGTTCATGAAGGTTCTCATAGGCAATGTGTTCTCATGGTGTCATGTTTTGTGTGATTACATATATTTTATGGTTCATTTGCCTCACCTGCTCTCCTCTGAAACTCTCCTTATTTATTTCCCTAATTATTCTCCCTATGCTCTCTGTTCTGTGCCAGACAGTCATCAAATGTTCCTGTGGTCCTGTTGGTTCCCAGTGTGTCCTGCCCTGCCGCATCCTGTCTTATTTTGCAGTGGCTAAGTATTTTACCCTACGGGGTAGTTTTTTGTTTTATTTTTGAATTATGATAAAGCCTGTTGAGCTCTGCGCCTGAGTCCTCGACTCTTCCCTACCAAAAAATGGGACACATATGTACAAAAAAAACTAAACAGAAACTAAATAAAAACAAATTTAAAGACAAAACAAAAGACATCAAAACAAAAATAAAATGTATAAACAAAAAATGTTATAACAAATGTAAAAAAAAATAACCACTCAAACTAAACAAAACAAGCAAGAGCGAGTGATTCAATTGACCCATGAATTAACAGAATCCTTGGATAGGGGTCAGTGTTTTTCTCACCATCTGGTTCTTGCCCTTCTATTGGCTGCAAGTAGAGTTTGTTGAAGAAGGCTTCGGGTAGAAGAGTTGCTGCTGCCCCCACACAGCTAACGGCTAATGCCTTAACGCTCACACGGACCTCATTATCAGGAACCAGACCTACAACACACACACACACACATTATTTTATGAAGAAAGACACTTTAATGTTCAAGTAGCAAATACCAACACCCAAAAGCACTTGTATGCTTATTGAGACAATACAGAGTCAAGCAACACATGAGAGTTCATGTCTTTTCTCACCATTTCTTTGGAAGGTGAGCAGGAAGGAGGCAGCCAACAGCCGGACACAGTGTACCAGAGGCTCTTTCTTTGAGTCAGTATAGTGACCAATATCTCCTTTAATCCTAGATGGCTAAAACACACAGAACACGTACAAAATATTCACAGACTGTGCAGTTTAACTACTAGATCTTTGTAATGAATCTGAGAGAACTTGAGATGCACAACATTATTCATTTGGACTACACAGACTATGGGCCCTATCATACACCCGGTGCAATGTGGCGCCAGGCGCGACGCAAGTGTTTTTTGCTAGTTTCAGCATGACGCAATTGCCATTTTCATGTCCTGCGCCACGTTGTTTAAATAGCAAATGCATTTGCACTCATTTGTGCGCTCATGGGCATGCTGGTCTGAAAACGAGGTGTGTTCAGGCGCATTGCTGGCGCGTTGCTATTTTGAGGCAACTGAAATAGACTGCGCCATTGACCAACAAAAACCTGGTCTAAAGTCTGGCGCAATAGTTTTTTTCTTCGTTATTTAAAGAGCGCATTAGTAATATGCGCCTAGGCGGGTGCACAACACGCGTACACTTTGCTTATTACACACACAGGGATGCGCAACAGCACACAAACATTTTTTTAAATGTTAAAAGGATTAAAATGTAAAATATTATTATTCTGTACATAAATATAAATATGGCTACATGTCATAATGGATAGTCTTTGCATGTATCAGAATTACGCGCATGAGCAGATCCGTTTCTTCACTAGAGAAGCGTTCGTTTTTTCCGCTTGCAAATTCCGCCATGTAAATAGCGAATCCGCCATGGCGCGAGCGCAACTGGCTTTTAAAGGGAATGGGAGATGAGACTCTGATTGGTTCATGACACGTTACGCCCAAAACACACCAATTACTTATTAAGAGAATAGGGACAACCCTTTTAGACCATGCACCGGGAGCGCAGACCATTTTTCCCATCCTTAAACTAGCAAAAGTGGATTCGGAAACGCCCTAAGCGCAATTGCGCTGTGTGCTTTAGACCATGCGCTTTGATCGTTAAAATAGGGCCCTATGTGTGTGTTCACCTTGTTGTCGTGTTCTGCAGGTTCCAGAACCTCTTCCTTTGGTATGAATCGATCCACACTGCTATCAGATGATTGCCTGTTGTGACCTTTTCCCTCCAGAAGATGCGGCTTACTTAAAGCTGACAACGAGAGAAAACAGAACTGTGAGCTAAAAGGATGACAAATAAACATGAGCACTTCACACCCAAGTTAGACCATTAGAACAGGGTGTATTGCTGAGAAAGTGTACTAAATGAATATGTACCCAGTGCTGACTGAGAGAAAGGCTCTGGAGGTTTATCAGGCGGTGGAGCTGCGCCCTCCTCTTCCTCATCCTGCAGTGTGCCGATCTGCATCCCTGAGTACTGACTATCACTGCCGTCCAGCACCTACACATCACACATACATATATACTGTCATGGCCAAAAATATCGGCACCCTTGGTAAATATGATCAAAGGCGGCTGTGAAAATTTATCTGCATTGTTAATCCTTTTTATCTTTTATTTTAAAAATTCACAAAAATCTAACCTTTCATTGGATAATAAGAATTTAAAATGGGGGAAATATCATTATGAAATAAATGTTTTTCTCAAATACACGTTGGACACAATTATTGGCAGCCCTAGAAATTCTTATGAGTAAAATATCTCTGAAGTATATTTCCATTCATATTCACAATTTTGAGAACTCCAGGGTGATTATGAACATGAAATTATCCAGCCATGGCTTCCTGTTTCACAAAAATATAAATAGGAGGGAAAACAAAACCCAAATTCCCTTAATCATCCATCACAATGAAAAAAACCAAAGAATATATTTCTGATGTGCATCAAAAGATAATTGAGCTTCACAAATTAGTGAAGTGGCTTTAAGAAAAGAGCTAGAGCAGTGAAAATTCCCATTTCCACCATCAGGGCAATAATTAAGAATT